TATTCGCCATTGGTAAACACTCGAGTGCTGTCGATAGAAATATTGTTAAGCATCGATTTCACACAACATGAATTAAACGAACTGTGTGAGGTATGTGTGTTATTCTAATATCATATTCCCACACCTGAAATAGAAAAAAAGCAATATCTAAAGCATTATTCGTGGTCAATAACATAATGTTCACGAAGCAGCCGAGTCGGATTTTTTCAGTTTTTAGTCTGTGGTTTCACTTTCACTTCACCGGTCAGGTGCCGTTCTGGTGATAACCTCTTGTGAGAACATTCGCCTATTTTGTATGTCAATACTTGTCCACAATATATTTGTAATCAATGTGCCTTGTATGTATACTATGCTATGTAGTGAGCTGCACCCTCATGTACAAGCTGACAAGTACACATGCCGTGATGATGATGGTTCCCTTGTTGATGATGGTTCCCTTGTTGACTCACTCTCTGGTTCCGGACAGCAATATAAATATCCTAAACCTTCTTGGACACGTCCCGTGTATACTTTAGGCCATGTTGCTTTATGTTTTCAAAAATAATCATAAGAATAAGAAAGCAAATATTAATAATCAGATTATTGTTTTTATTGCACATAATCTCATAAATTTATAATATGAAATTAACGGTAACAACTTAAATATAACATTTTTGTCTTCTCAATTATTTTTTATTACATACAGCTTCATACTCAGCCTCTCACAAACATGTGACATCATATAAAATTATAATAATGTAAACAAATGAGTCATTACAATAACAAGTACCGTGTCATTATTTGGAGTAGAAAGATATATTTTTTAAATTAAATAAAAACAATTAAATCACGACCACATGTTTACCTATATTACACTTGTCACCGTGCAGTGGATTCCACTAAAATTGCATACAGGTCTGTTAATAACTTAATAGTTTTTTTTCTTTAATTATTTTAACTTATTTGCATATTTTGGTGTATATTTCTGTTAATAACATATTTCTGTCAATAAAATATTTCTCTTAATTGCATATTTCTGTTAATAAATTCTTTTCGAGGAAAATATAATAAAATATAGATCTTAACAGCCAGTCAGTGTATTACGGTTAATTGCAAATTTCTCATACATTGGCATTATGTGGACTATCCAAAATAAGAAGAATTTTCTGGTTTTGGTGCTCGAGTCTACACAACAAAATTCACCTCTCTGTGCTGCAAATAGTCAAATGGTAATTTCAGATATTTTCCACCCGTACAGGGGCGGATCCAGAAATTTTGAAACGGGGGAAGGGGGCGAAGATTTGTATGTGTCACGGAGGGGGGCTGTAAGCAAATTAATATGGCATAAGTCGTTTTTTATGTACAAAAAAAATCCTGAACAAGGGGGGCAAATCCACCCTTGCCGTATAGTATATAATAAAAGATTTTAATATTATAATAATAATAATGGACGTTATTTACCCTCGGTTACCATCTTGAGCCATCAGCTCATTTTGAGAGATAGCCGAGCGGGAATAGTATTTACATTATTTACAGGAGACGGGGAATTTTATTATTTACACCTACACAGGGTTTTTTATGATGGAGGAAACAGAAGGACTGAGAAAACCATCATGTCACCAGAGAGATCTAGCAGGAAACTCTATAGACATACCAGGGCTCGAACCTAAACACTATATCGGTCTATTGCTCCATGGCGGTCACGCACCACTGAACTACCTTGTCCATGCATTATACCACCGAGCCACTGGGACACCCGAAATATTGACTTTTGAAAGTATACATAATTACATATCTGATAAGTGATTTATTAATTGACCTGTGAACAAATTCCTGGTCAGGTCTGTATAGTTGCACGTGAACCTTATTATCGCTAAAAGTCAATAATTGTACTATAATGTTGTATTTGCACAGAATTATAAATAACAACATTCCAATTACTTTCTACATGTATCTCTATTATGGCAGGAATTTGAATCAACCACTGATCCCGTCGACGACAGCTTGCCCAAAGAAAAAGCGAAAAACATAGTGAAAGTTGAACGTGACTTAGTAAAGAAAGTCATTAACCTCGTCATAGTGGACCCCATTATTCCTGACAGCATTAAGGAGACAATAAAATCTAGCAACCGTAATTATTACTGTATACTGGGAAACGTCTGCCCGGTATTAACTTTTGCCCACAATGGTGAACACAACACTAGGAGTAGCGTTTGACGACAAAGCAATATTTTATATATATATAGACGATGGCAGTGGGTAAAGAGGTATGGCGGAAAACTGCCCGTATTTCCCAAAGTCGGCATTTATGAAAACGGGGAAAAAAAATAAGGAGTAAAGCATTTCGGGTAGCAAAAATGCATACAAAAGATACAAAACCAATTGAATATGAATTTTGAAACTGCTGAGAAATTAGGTATTGCTAATATGATACTGCAAATATAGCCATATACACTATATCTATGAAAGTGATGGGGTTTCCCGGACTTAAAAAATACTTTCAACACTTTCCCATCCGAGGACCAACTTTTGAATAAACTTTTTGTGACCGTGATGTAATTTGCAAAAACAAATCGTATTACGGAAAAGTGGTCCTTCTTTGGGAAAGTGCTCAAAATAATGGAAAACAGGGGTGATCAAGTTTCTCTGAACTGCGACCGGTGTTTCTCGGGTTAGATAAGTTTGTAATTGCCAATATCTATATGTTCTATGTAGCCAAATGTGTAACGCAGTTTACTTGCGACTAGAAAATAAACGGTGCAGGTTCGATTCCTCCTTCAGTTTATTTTTTAAAATATTTAGGCATGTGATCATTTTCCTTAATAAGGCAATAGTGTTTTTTTTAAATCGATGGAACATTTTGTTTTCATTTTAATAACATACCTATTGATTTATCAGTTTTGTTAGTAATAATTTCTTTATTATTTAGTGCGACATACTTTTATCGAAGCATGTCAACAAATCCCTGTACACGTGTACAGTACAGCTACGCTTTGTAGGTAAGACTATTTTTGATGAAATTTATGAATTGTTTTACCCTCCAACTGGCAATAGTAATTATGTCAAGTGCTTAAACACCAACAAATAATGCCGAAATACCAAATATGTGGTCTGTTTACAATTATCTATTCTTAGACACGGGATTCCGATATTGCTACCTGTATAAAAAAAAATACCTGAGGACGCGTCATAACAGTGCACGGTTGGATGCGCGCACTAGCGTAACATAGCTTTGGGGAAATAGGCATAGCAACCCGCCATATCTCTTTAACACTGGGAAAAAAAAAAGGATTGTATCATCACTTATGTGAGGGCTTGTTTACTGCCGAGCGAACGTTTCCCCGTATACTAAAAGGTTCTTATTCAGTGACATTATTTAAATATTATAAATTTATACAATATTAAAAGAAAAAACAATCATTGTATTTTATTTTTATAATCCTAAGTTATTCATCAACAATTAAACAAATCATATTTTGATATTAAACCTAGACTTTTTCAATTATGTGATAGAAGGCAACTTGGCTCAAAATGGGCCGAACAAATGTGTATGCTGTCAGGGCTAAACCCCGAATCACACCGATTTACGGCTGCTATCAATGTTGACCGCCATTCTGCATCTTTGGGAAAGCCAAAGTAATTAATACACTGTCCTGTTTTCTTACTGGAGTTGGTACAACCGACCACACAACAGTGTTTGCCACCCATTGTTTTACCCCTGGAGCAAACCGGAAGTTGCTTTCTATACCACCCGGTGGGGGCGCTGCGAACATCGGGAAGCTCCTTGGTTGATTATAGAGCGTGACGTCATGGAGTCGGCGGTCCCGTTAATTTAGGTCTATGGTTGAAATTACTTGAAACAGATAACTGAATTTTGAAAGCCTTGTATAATGATATGTTGTCTGAAGTAAATACAAAGGCCAACTGGCTTAGTAATGTGAAATCAATGTTAATGTCTCTAGGTTTTGAATATGTTTGGTATGATCAGAAAGTTGTATGTAAGAATCAATTTATAATGGACGTTAAACTACGTACGTCTACGTGATATTTTTATACAAAATATGAACATTATTTTTGAAAACTCTACGAAATGTTTTTATATAGATGTCAGCCCGAGGTTAATTGTCTTCAGTATTATCTTTGTAAATCTTTTCCTGAATCTTGTATTTTAACCATTGCGAAATTTAGATTATCTTCACACGACCTTCGTATAGAAAGGGGCAGATATGAGAGAATACCTCGTAATGAAAGACTTTGTTTAAAGGACGAATTGCATTTTATTCTTGTTTGTCCATTTTACAACGAAGTAAGAACACAATACATTGACAGATATTACAGAATTAGACCGTCTATGTAAAAATTAATTAATTAACTTCCTGTTAGAAGTAAGAGGAAATTGAATAATCTTTCCAAATTTTTAATATCTGCTTCACAACTGAGATCAAATGAATAATTACACATATTGTCCATCCTCCATAATATGTCTGTATTGCTGTGTATCACTCACTCAATTTTGTAAAATGTATTGTAATGTTTATGCTGATTAGCCGAAAGGCTAAAGGCCAATAAACTAAACTAAACTAAGCCTGTAGTGGTGTATTGATCATGGTATATACCTGTAGTGGTATATTTAACGTGGACTATGCCGACAGTGGTAGTTTTATCATAGTCAATTTCTGTAGTGGTGTGTTAAATATTGACTTTATCTGAAGGAATATGTATCATTGTATAAACCTGTAGATATATGTTAAACATGGTCTCTACCGGTACTGGTGTGTCTATCATGGTCTGTACCGATACTGGTATGTCTATCATGGTCTCTACCGGTACTGGTATGTCTATCATGGTCTCTACCGGTACTGGTATGTCTATAATGATATCTACCGGTACTAGTGTGTCTATCATGGTATCTATCGGTACTAGTGTGTCTATCATGGTATTTACCGGTACTGGTATGTCTATCATGGTCTGTACCGGTTCTAGTGTGTCTATCATGATATCTACCAGTACTAGCGTGTCTATCAGGTCTCTACCGGTACTAGTGTGTCTATCGTGGTCTCTACCGGTACTGGTATGTCTATCATGGTCTCTACCGGTACTGGTATGTCTATAATGATATCTACCGGTACTAGTGTGTCTATCATGGTCTCTACCGGTTCTAGTGTGTCTATCATGGTATCTATCGGTACTAGTGTGTCTATCATGGTATCTACCGGTACTGGTATGTCTATCATGGTCTCTACCGGTACTGGTATGTCTATCATGGTCTCTACCGGTACTGGTATGTCTATCATGGTCTGTACCGGTACTGGTATGTCTATAATGATATCTCCCGGTACTAGTGTGTCTATCATGGTCTCTACCAGTACTAGTGTGTCTATGATGGTCTCTACCGGTACTGGTATGTATATCATGGTATCTACCAGTACTAGTGTGTCTATCATGGTATCTACCGGTACTAGTGTGTCTATCATGGTATCTATCGGTACTAGTGTGTCTATCATGGTATCTACCGGTACTGGTATGTCTATCATGGTCTGTACCGGTTCTAGTGTGTCTATCATGGTCTGTACCGGTACTGGTGTGTCTATCATGGTATCTACCGGTACTGGTATGTCTATCATGGTCTGTACCGGTACTGGTATCTCTATCATAGTCTTTACATGTAGTGATTTGTCTATCATTGTCTATACCTGTAGCGGAGTGGCATGTTTATCGTGGTCTATTAATGAGTTTGACCTATTTTCTATTATAGTCGTTACCTGTAGTAATATATTTTACCTGTAGTGATATATTGATCATGGTCTATACCGGTATTGGTATGTCTATCATGGTATCTACCGGTACTAGTGTGTCTATCATGGTCTCTACCAGTACTAGTGTGTCTATAATGATATCTACCGGTACTGGTATGTCTATCATGATATCTACCGGTACTAGTGTGTCTATCATGGTCTCTACCAGTACTAGTGTGTATATGATGGTCTCTACCGGTACTGGTATGTATATCATGGTCTCTACCAGTACTAGTGTGTCTATCATGGTATCTACCGGTACTAGTGTGTCTATGATGGTATCTACCGGTACTGGTATGTATATCATGGAATCTACCGGTACTAGTGTGTCTATCATGGCATCTACCGGTACTAGTGTGTCTATCCTGGTATCTACCGGTACTAGTGTGTCTATCATTGTATCTACCGGTACTGGTATGTATATCATGGAATCTACCGGTACTAGTGTGTCTATCATGGTATCTACCGGTACTGGTGTGTCTATCATGGTCTGTACCGGTTCTAGTCTGTCTATCATGGTATCTACCGGTACTGGTATGTTTATCATGGTCTGTACCAGTACTGGTATCTCTATCATAGTCTTTACATGTAGTGATTTGTCTATCATTGTCTATACCTGTAGCGGAGTGGCATGTTTATCATGGTCTATTAATGAATTTGACCTATTTTCTATTATAGTCGTTACCTGTAGTAATATATTTTACCTGTAGTGATATATTGATCATGGCCTATACCGGTATTGGTATGTCTGTCATGGTCTATACCTGTAGTGGCATCCTTATCTGGTCTATTAATGTAGTGGTATTTGTATTATAGTCTTTACCTGTAGTAATATGTTTGACATTGTTTATACCTGTAGCGGTATATTGATAATGGTCTATACCTATAGTGGCATCCTTATCGTGGTCTATTAATGTAGTTGTATTTGTATTATAGTCTTTACCTGTAGTAATATGTTTGACATTGTTTATACCTGTAGTGATACATTTATTCATGATATATACCTGAAGTGGTATGTTAGCCGTGGAATATGCCGGTAGTTGGATGACAATAATAGTATATATCTATACTAGTATTTTTATCATAGTATGTAGCTGTAGTGGTGTGTTAAATATTGACTTTATCTGAAGGAATATGTATCATTGTATCAATCTGTAGAGATATGTTAAACATGGTCTCTACCGGTACTGGTGTGTCTATCATGGTCTCTACCGGTACTAGTGTGTCTATCATGGTCTCTACCGGTACTGGTATGTCTATCATGGTCTCTACCGGTACTGATATGTCTATCAAGGTATCTATCGGTACTAGTGTGTCTATCATGGTCTGTACCGGTACTGGTATGTCTATCATGATATCTCCCGGTACTAGTGTGTCTATCATGGTCTCTACCGGTACTGGTATGTCTATCATGGTCTCTACCAGTACTAGCGTGTCTATCATGGTATCTACCGGTACTAGTGTGTCTATCATGGTCTCTTCCAGTACTAGCGTGTCTATCATGATATCTACCAGTACTAGTGTGTCTATCATGGTCTCTACCAGTACTAGCGTGTCTATCATGGTATCTACCGGTACTAGTGTGTCTATCATGATCTCTACCAGTACTAGCGTGTCTATCATGATATCTACCGGTACTGGTATCTACTGGTATCTCTATCATAGTCTTTACATGTAGTGATTTGTCTATCATTGTCTATACCTGTAGCGGAGTGGCATGTTTATCATGGTCTATTAATGAATTCGACCTATTTTCTATTATAGTCGTTACCTGTAGTAATATATTTTACCTGTAGTGATATATTAATCATGGTCTATACCGGTATTGGTATGTCTATAATGGTCTATACCTGTAGTGGCATCCTTATCGTGGTCTATTAATGTAGTTGTATTTGTATTATAGTCTTTACCTGTAGTAATATGTTTGACATTGTTTATACCTGTAGTGATACATTTATTCATGATATATACCTGAAGTGGTATGTTAGCCGTGGAATATGCCGGTAGTTGGATGACAATAATAGTATATATCTATACTAGTATTTTTATCATAGTATGTAGCTGTAGTTGTACGTTAATCATTGTCTTAATCTGAAATGGTTTGTTTATCATTGTCTTAACCTGCAAATGGGCGGATTGGTTGAGTGTTTAACACTTCGGCCTTCCACGCAGGCGGCCGGGGTTCGATCCCCGAAGTCGTCGCGCGCATGGAATATCAGAGAAAGTGTTTTGCTCCTGCCCACACAACTCCAACAACCCAGGGGGAGTATAAAATGTTCTGGGTTGGATGTTGCGGTATCTGTGATGTAGCATTCAAGTGAGGTGGCACTATAAAAGATGTCGTTGGAAGTACGGTCCCACTACAAACAGAACACAATACATCTCCAGCACACACGCAGGCATATACACATAGGGAGATATTAGCCAGGTGGCATAGGACTAGTAGTTAGCGCCTGATAAGGCAGCAACTGCGAATTCCTCAACAATTGTATATCATAATTGTATTAATTGTATATCTATGTACTGTAAAGCGCTTTAGAGTGGCTTATGTTAGCTAAATAGGGCGCTATATCAAATGTTCTTTATTAAATGGTATGTCTATCAAGGTGTATATCTGTAGTAGTGTGTTTAAAATAAAGTGAATGTAACATATAGTTATAGTTCAGTATGGTCTTTGTTAGAACTGAAAATGGTATAAATATAAATGAACTATATTTTTAACCATCTCTCTGACGGAAAAAGAACAGACGTTTGAAGAAGACATATTGTTAGAATGATGAAGTGGACGGATGAATGTATTTAATAGTCACTAAAATGATATGCACGCTACATACTATTATAGGATTAAACATGACTCGTACTGTTTGTAACACTGTCTACGTGACAGGGGTTAAAGGTTATAATAACACAATTTGATTTGTTTTGATATCTAACTTTCGACGTGCATGTAAATTTACAACCGAGGTTATTTTTCTGAATTCGGAACAAATCTGATACAAGAGTCATGGACGTAAAGGGAAAGTTTTACCGAATTTCTTTACAATGTATTTCGTACCAAACACCCCTGCGGTAAATAGTAAAAGTTGTACGATTATCTCGATTAGGTATAGATAGCAAAACCAGATGAGACCAAACTGCTTCATCAGAAAGCTTATAAATAATGGATTTAGTGCACTACCTATCATAGCACTTACAAAAAAGAGGGACGATATTTTCCCTGTCACCATGGCAACGTACTCGTTTGTCCAGCTTAACAGGAGGGCAAATACACAGGAATTAGAGAAGCCAAACAGAGATACAAAAACCTAAACACCACTGTCCAACAGGTGTAATGACATGAACAGGAGTCCCAGGATAGACAGGAACATCAAAGTCAAATTAACCGCTAGACATACTAACGTGTTCAAATATTTTTCAAACGTTATTGAAATGAAACGAGCTCCAAGTACAAACAAAAAAAAGGTTGTCGAAATATAACCTCCCTCCTTTTTCGTCCAATGAAAATGTTCTACGCAATAGGACGAAAGCAACCCTATAAAGGTGTCAACAATAGCATTATGTACGAGAAATATTGTACTAATGATCAACAGCATCACAACTTTAGTTGATTTCGGTAAATTCCTTGCCTTCATATCAGTATCTGCTGAAATAATGCGACTTTTATTTTTTATGTCATATTTCAAATATGCAATAACGAATAATGAAGCAACTATAAGTGAAAGACCCCCGGTGAGAGAGAATGGAATGTATATATTTGACTGTGGGGAAGACGCATAATCTCGTAGGTTTGTTGCATTGTTGTCATGTGTCTTGTTTATTTCCGTTTTGTTTAGTAGGTAGGACGATGTAACCAAGGACGAGGAGGACGTATTTTTTAATCCTTCATCTTTAAGCTCAATTAAGAAGGGTGCCACAACCAGAGGGGCAATAACACTTCCAACGGCGAAAACGAAATTTAATCCAAGAACAACCACTCGGCCTTCTTGTTTCCATACTTGTAATACTTCAGCATTTCCTCCTGCAATGCAATAACAAAGAGCTCAGAAAGGAAACAATAGGAATACAATGACCTGGGCAAGACAAAAGATATAGTTAAATTGATAAGAATATGTATTTTGTGAGAGTGCATGAAATATTTATATGACGCAGGAACAAACATGTATTACTTTAAAGTAATGTCTTATGTAAGACTTCTACTCTGCACATACAATATATACAGGTATATACAGTTTTCTTCTACAACCACTATCGGTTTCCTCGCTCCCAACTCATTGGATTAACCTGCTGGAAGTTGGTTAACATTTGTTACCAATTAGTTGGTAGCACACTGGACGTCAATTTGTTGGTTGATCTTCTAAATGTGACGTCAAGTAGCAATGCCTTGCGATGTAATCTCCCATTGTGATGTTATGATTCCCCGATCAGAATCAGAAAAAATGTATTCCCAAGAGAAACAAATGATTTTCTAGATACGATATCTGGACGTCATGGGAGGTTGATTATCATGTTGTCTAACTCTCGTTAAATAGTTCTTAAACTTAAGAGAGACAATCGTTAAACATCGTATCTTTAAACATTAGAATATCAACTAACTCGAATTTAGTTGAAGCAGCATAACCAACTATCACTAGTATGTTTGCTCAATGTGCGTTGTCTATACAGTCAATGTAAATCAGATCGACCGAAATGTGGTTTGGTTTGGTTTTATATTGTTTAACGTCCTATAAACAGCTAAGGTCATTAAAGGACGTGCCTCCATGTGTGTGGTGTAAGCGTTCATGCGTGTATGTCTTGCGGCGAAGAGTAGGGTGGTATAGTTCCCTCATTGTGAAAGCGCGAATCTGATGTGGACTTTAAAG